CCCCCCGTCCCATTCATTTGTCAATGTTCTCTCGTCTTCTTTCTTTCTTTCCTTCTTTTTTCTCTCCTACGGCGTACTTTCCGTACAACCTCACTTTCATTGATTCCCTCCGTCCATCCATCACAAAGCAGCCAGACGCCTCTGACTTTTGAGCACTGATCTGAATCATCACTTCATTACCAGAGTAAATTACACGGAGAACAAATCCCACGACATCGAAGTTGCTGGAGCAAATAATATGATATTGTTATATAGTTTAACACCCTCTAAACACTGTCGAAATATGTGAGGCATCGTGGTGGAATCAGGCTCTCGTCAATTTGTGGGCGTGTAGAGTTATTGGTATCATTTTAAAGCTTGTTCACTTGTCTTTATTTGGATAAAAAAATATCCATTTATCTTGAATACAAGTCGAAATATTAGCAAAAGAAGGAGGCGGGGGTCACTTGTTTTCAGGGGTAAAATTTGTGAGAAAATTGCCGCTAAAGATTAGTTATTTGCTTAGCTTAAGAGTCCGTGGTAACTGAAAATTTACACTTTTTGTGCCTTTAATCAACGTTTTTCAGAAAAATCCACACAGAAATGAGTTCCTTAATTGGCATAAATAAAAGGTGTTGAGCCGAAAAACAAAAATCTTTTAAAAATTCATAAACCTGCGGAAAAATGCAAGTTTCTTCACTTTGATTATTTTGACGAGAGCCTGATTCCACTACGTTGCCTCACATATTATCTAAGAGTCGAGACCTCCGAATTTTACCATCCATCTCCCAGAGGACCGATCACCCACCCCACCACCCCACCCCCCACCAATAAAAAAACAAAACAAACCCCCAACACAATTCGTGTAAAATCTTTCCCAAGGACACAACGTCGGACTGAGCTATGTACACAGAGACTAAACATTGTGTTACATGATATATTTTATCATCCTCAAGTTGTAAGATGTTAGCCTTTACTTTGTAACTAGGGAAAGAACATAGTTTTGTATAACGTCTAATCATTTTGCGTTTTCCTCTGTGTGCAGCTTTTGGTGTAGTTTTTAAAAATGTCCGGG